TGCTCTTCCGTGGATAGACAGCTCACCTGTCCTCGGCTGGGAAGATCATATTCATATCGAAGTTTAATTAGACTTCATGTATACTCTGGCAGTTAACACAATAGAGTAACGGAATAACAGGTCCTCCAATCCAGCCCTTTGCTTAAGCTGGAGACCCTACATCCTTTCAGAAAACGGTTGTCCAGTCTCTTCTTGAAAACCTCCAGTGATGGAGCACCCACCACTTCTGGAGGCAAGCGGTTCCACTGATTAATTGTTCCCATGGTCAGGAAATTCCTCTTTAGTTCCAGGTTGCTTCTCTTCTTGATTAGTTTCCGTCCGTTGCTTCTTGTCCTGCCTTCAGGCGCTTTGGAGAATAGCTTGACCCCGTCTTCTTTAGGGCAGCCCCTCAAATATCGGAACACTGCTATCATGTCATCCCTCGTCCTTCTTTTCATTATACGCTACTACAGGGGTCTCCAAACTTGGCAACTTGTGGACTTCAACTCCCACAATTCCTCAGGCTGAGGAATTCTGGGAGTTGAAGTCCACAAGTCTTCAAGTTGCCAAGTTTGGAGATCCCTGCGCTATTATAATCAATTCCTGGAATTTTTCTTCATACCGTAGGTTTTAGCCTCTAGTCCCCTAACCATTTTTTTTCTAATCTGAAGATCATCAAAGGCAGTTGTGGTGACTGAACTTGGGAATGTCAGCTTATACAGTCCATTCTGTAAGTGCAGACAATTTGTCCATCAATGGACACATAGAAATAAAGTATCTTTACACACCATTCCAAAGAGACAATAAAAAACGCCAAAAGACTAGTTTACATGAACTAGATGACGTGAACATCCATGAACACCAACTAGCAGTCAGAAGACACGATGAAAACACCTTAAATTCACAACACATGGAAAGATTTAACTATAGCATCAGTTGAGAAACTGTGAGCATCCTTGTTCAAACTCAGTCCTAAAAACACTAGAGAATAACTGGAAGCCTGGAAGCCAGACAAATCGGCCATCAGCTGGCACATAGAGATAAACAACATTTACATACCATTTAGAAGAGACAATTAAAAATCTAAAAAGGTTTGGTGGGACGCGGGAAATGTGGCGTACTGAAAAATCTAAAAAGGAAATTAAAAGGACCAAAACACCTTCCCATCATCAATCAATGTCCAGATAAACAGAGATTAACACCAAAATTAATACTAGACCAACAAGCAAGAAGTAAGCGCCCCAATCAAAGAAACACCAACTCAGATAAACAAGCTAACAGTAAACAGCCTAATCAAGGAATCACCAAGAATAACGCTGACAGGGCAAGCAGCTTGTTTATCAATGTCAAACACCCCTCCCTTCTTGCACTGATGATGTTACCTAATTTGGTAATGAGTTGTCTGCAAGAAAAAAACCAAGCTTGGAGAGCACCAAGGACTCCAGTAGAATACATCTCCTCCAGCAGCTAACATTCATATAAGCCAAGATCAACACCAGGCAATAATCACGCAGCAATCAATGCTATAATCACACCTCTATCAACACTGGGCAAGCAAGCAAACCCCATCCTCACTTCACAGAAACGAACTTGGATGAGAAGTGAAATGTCTTCAAAGAAAAACAAAGAAAGTCCAGTTGCATCTTTTAAAAAGCATCTTTGGGATAACCAGGACCTGGATGACTGTGACGCTCCACAGACACCCATCCTGGCTAGCACAGAAGGAAAGGAGCCCTGTCCTCACTAGCACTGAAGAGGTGGTGAACCTGTTCTTATTTGTATGATGAAATGTGAGTTATTCTCTGCATTCTGATCCTGGTTAAACTTCATTTGGAGTCTTGTGTCCTATTCTGGGCCCTGCAATTCAAAACTGGAGCAAATTCAGAAGATACGGGATGATGGAACCATCTGCACGTGTGAAGCCTGCAGATAATATACCGCAGGGGCAGATATAAGAGCTGTTTTCAAAAACCAGAAGGTTCAGCATGCCGAAGAAAAGGTGGACCTTCTCTCTTGCTCCAGAGCACCAGATCAGAACCAGCAAATTAAAATGACAAGGCAGGAGATTCAAGATAGGACATCTGGAGGAAGTTGTTGAACGTGTGAAAGAGGGGAATCTAGGGAATTCTCTTTCACTGGAGGTCTTAAACATGGGCTGTACTGTCGTCTGTCAGAGATGTTTGGTTGTTAAGTCAGATTCAGAATAGAGCTGGAAGGGACCTTGGAGGTCTTCTAGTCCAGCCCCTGGCTCAAGCAGGAGATCCCAAATCATTTCAGACAAAGTGATTGTCCATTCTCTTCTTAAAAACCTCCAGTGATAGGTGTGGTTGTATGGACGCAACCTATTATCATATTTGGTGGTCTTGTAGAAATATAAAGGCTTTCTGGATTAAGATTTGGTGGAATATTCAAAAAATTTTTAATAGAAGGATAAAATTCACACCACAATTATTTTTGTTAGGTATCGTTGAAGATTGTGATAGTAAAGAGATTATTTTAATGTTGAATTTTATTACGGCAGCAAGGTTATTGATTGCGCAATATTGGAGGAAAGACTCTTTGCCTTCCTTAGAGGAATGGTTTTTTAAAGTTTCTTACTTATCAGAAATGGCAAAATATCGGCTTATCTGAAAGACCATTCGCAAGAGAGATATAACTCTGTATGGAAAAGATGGGTAAATTTTGTTCAGAATAAATATGGGATTAGAAAGTATTATATAGCTTTTGAATAACTTACTGTGTAAAGTTGTTATGGTTAGATTTGTTGATTTTATGGTAATGGAGTTAAAGGGGTTCTTAAATTTTTTAGGATTTATGTATAATGGATTGATGCTTATTTAATTTTTTATGTTCTTTTTCTTGTTGTTTTTAGTTCTGTATTCAGCTCTGGGAAGGGGGAGAGGGTTAAGGGGAGGGGGAGGGAGAGAGGTGGGGAGGGATTTTATTGTAAAATAAAATTAACCGTTCCACTGGTTAATTGTCCTCACTGTCAGGAAGTTTCTCCTTAATTCCAGGTTGCTTCTCTCCTTGATTAGCTCCCATGCATTGTTTCTCGCCCTGCCTTCTGGTGCTTTGGAAAATAAGTTGAACCCATTTTCTGTATACTACGTGGACCTTACACCTGCCTTATCTGAAGATATTTGTACAAACAAAGGCACTGGGACATGATTCTTGAATGACAACAATAAGTAGAAAAAAGAAACTTGATTTTCTTCTTGACTCAAGCAAAGTCTGAGAGTCTCACCATCCAACTATGGTGCACCAAAAAGCATTTTTGAAACTCCATTATGGCCTTTCCAAAGGGGTTGGGGAGGATGCTGTCTGATCAACTGGTGTACAGTGGTGATCCAAAAGCAAGATTTTCCTACCTAATAAACTTTTTTTTCTTCCTGGCTATCTTCTAGATTGGAGTGGGGGAGGGAAGGTTAGATCTACAGCTTTACATTTATATTTGGTTTGCTTTTCTACTCCTAATTACTTCTAATTACCTCCGGGGAAGCGTGCTTGCACACTTCAAGACTGTAATAAATGCAAGCATTTATTATGAATTAATACATAAATAATCGGTAGCTAAAGAACATAAATCCCTTGGGCTTAAGAAGAGAGCAGAAGAGTTGGAATGCAAACGGGAAGCTGTTCACAACCACACTCCAATCCAATCAGAATACTTCAACTGTTGTTGTTGTTGTTGTTTGTACATAAAGCACAAGACTCTTGCACTGATGGCACACTCATTGGTTGTCTCATGTGGCAATAGGAATGGAATGTCAGAAACTGACATGAAGGCAGGACAAGAAGCAATGGGTGGAAACTAATCAAGGAGAGAAGCAACCTAGAACTAAGGAGAAACTTCCTGACAGTGAGAACAATTAATCAGTGAAACAGCTTGCCTCTAGAAGCAGTAAATGCTCCAACACTGGAAGTTTTTAAGAAGAGACTGGACAGCCATTTGTCCGAAATGGTGTAGGGTTTCCTGCCTGAGCAGGGGGTTGGACTAGATGACCTCCAAGGTCCCTTCCAACTTTACTACTATTACTAAAGTTGGAAGGGACTTTGAATGTCTTCTAGTCCAACCCCCTGCTCAAGCAAGAGACCCTAACATACAAGACAAATAGCTGTCCAGTCTCTTCTTAAAAGACTCCAGTGTTGGAGGACCCACAACTTCTGGAGGCTAGTTGTTCCGCTGGCTAATTGTTTTAACTGTCAGGAAGTTTCTCCTTAATTCTAGGGTTGCTTCTCTCCTTGAATAGTTTCCATCCGTTGCTTCTTGTCCTGCCTTCAGGGGCTTTGGAGAATAGGTTGACCCCCTCTTCTTTATTGACCCCTTACATACTGGACGACTGCTATCATGTCCCCCTTCATCCTTCCCTTCCATTAGACTAGACATACCCAATTCCAGCAACCGTTCCTCACATGTTTTAGCCTCCAGTCCCACAATCATCTCTGCTGCTCTTCTCTGCACTCTTTCCAGAGTCTCAACATTCGTTTTTAAATTGTGGTGCCCAAAACTGGACACACCGTGTGTGTGTGTGTGTGTGTGTGTGTGTGTGTGTGTGTGTGTGTGTGTGTGAAGAAAAGAGAAATGTCTGCCCTTAAGGAAGTCAAGACTATAGATCAGTGGTTCTCAACCTGTGGGTCGGGACCCCATTTGGGGTCGAATGACCATTTCACGGGTTTGCCAAACCATGCTGTCCGCCATTTTTTTCCCTTTTCCCTAGCTGTCCTACTCCCTCTTATTGGTGGCCACACCCACTTGGGGGTCACCACAACATGGGGAACTGTATTATGGGGTCACGGCATTAGAAAGGTTGAGAACCACTGCTGTAGATTCTGGACCATCTTTACTCTGAACCATGTAACCGCTCTAACAAAAAGTGCCTGCCTTGAAAAGTTTGCAGTCCAAACTATACGGGTTGATTCGAGCGAAGAGCTTAGCCAAAGGGTTTCTGTTGGGCCTACGCCTTGTGGCCAGAGTCGGGAGCACCTGCTCTGAGGCTCCTTCAGAAGCCATGGTTACTTACGGTTGCAAGCTTTCCTGTTGCATAATCTCCCTTCTTCCAGGACTCCTTCGCAGATGAGACCTTCATCAGGAGGAGTGTGACAAGTTCGGGTCCGCGTTTGAAGGCCACCTCCACAGTCTTTGGTGCACTCGCCCCAGGTTGACCAAGGATTCCATCCACCTGAGAATTGGCACAGGGCGAAAAATACATTAGACAATCAATCAATCAATATATCAATCAAAATAGAGCTGGAAGGGACTTGGGAGGTCTTCTAGTCCATACCAAAGCAAGGAGAGAAGCAACCTGGAATTAAGGAGAAACTTCCTGACAGTGAGGACAATCAACCAGTGGAACAGTTTACCCCCCCTGGAGATTTTTAAGAAGAGACTAGACAATCATCAGGTTCAGCAGTGTCCAGCTCCAAACCAACAGTCTGGATTGCCTGCAGGGGTGACATGATAGCAGTGTTCCAGTATCTGAGGGGCTGCCACAAGGAAGAGGGGTTCAGGTTGTTCACCAGAGCACCAGAGGGAAGGATGAGAAACAACGGTTGGAAACAGATCAAGGAGAGAAGCAACCTGGAATTAAGGAGAAAGTTCCTAACAGGGAGGACAATTAACCAATGGAACAGACTGCCTCCAGAAATTGTGGGCACTCCATCACTGGAGATTTTGAAGAAGAGACTAGACAATCACCTGTCTGAGATGGTATAGGTTCTCCTGCTTGAGCAGGGGGCAGGACTAGAAGACCTCCAAGGTCCCTTCCAGCTCTATTCTATTCTAAGAGAAGGGTCTAGTGCTCTCCAAAGTACACTGACACTATCGGCAGCTTCAAACCACATAGGGCTGGACAAGAAGCAACGGGCGGGAACTCAAAAGAAGGAGATCTAACCTGGAAATAAGAAGGAAATTCTTGACAGTGAGAACAATTAATCAATGGAAGAGCTTGCCTCCTGGAGTTGTGAGTGCTCCATCGCTGGAGGTTGTCAAGAAAAGATCACACAACTGTTTGCTTGGGACGGTTTAAGAATAAGGGGCTGGGCTAGAAGACCCCCAAGGTCCCTTCCAGCCTATGATTCTATGATCCTGAAAAGACAAAAAAGCAGAGCTGAAGCAATGGGTCCCAATGGGAAAAGCTGTTGTCTTAGCTACACAAGAAGCACAACAACGGAAAGGTATTTCTTCACAGTACAGGTGGTCCTCAACCTACAATAGTCCATTTAGTGACTGTTCAGGGTTACATCAACACTGGCAAAAGCAACTTATGGCCCTTTTTCATCCTTACAACTGTTGCAGTAGCCCCAGGGACACAGAATCAAAATTGGGACCAATTGAGACTCTTAGCAACCGACTCATATTGATGACGGTCACAGTGTCCCTGGTTGTGTGTGTGTCACGTGATCCCCTTTTTTTGACCCTCTGACAAACAAAGTTAATGGGGAATGCCGGGTTCACTTAACAACCGTCTTGCTAACTTAACAACTACAGCGATTCACTTAACAATTATGGCAAGGAACATCACAAAACGCGGAAAGTTTACGTAAGAACTGCCTAGCTTAGCAAAATTAATTTGGGGCTCAGTTGTGGTTGTAAGTCAAGGACAACCTGTAGAGGCAACTGTCATGGTTCCGACAGATGAAACTCTTCAAAGAACTTTGAGGCATTGTTTAGCTTATTCAAGTAGCATAGCATCAGCACGTACATAGGCCAAGCCAAAATCTGAATGTCCCTCCCCTGAGCACATAGTATCAAAGCACAATTCCCTCCTCTAATTTACAGTCATAAATCACATTCTCCAATTAGTTTGAAATGCGGGCTTTCCATCTAGTTCTCTAACCCGCCAATTGTTATCATCTCTTACTCCTATTCTCACACTAGTTACAATATTGTTATGTCTAACTAAACTCCCATGCACATTCCTCCTCCCCCCCCATATCATCTAATTCTAACTCTAATTCTAAGAGTAAAACATAAGAAGAAAAATGGCTGCATCTCCATATGTTGTGAAAGCAAAAACATCCGATGTTAGCAGCGTTGACATCAATCTGTTATATTTTGGGGATTTCTCTAGACCAGCGGTTCTCAACCTGTGGGTCGGGACCCCATTTGGGGTCGAACGATCATTTCGTGGGGGTCGCCAAACAACGCAGTCCGCCATTTTTTCCCCCTTTTCCTTAGCTGTGCTACTCCCTTCTATTCTATTGGCTTTTGAAAGCCAATAGAATAGACTCTCTTGAATAGAGTCTAAATCTATTGGCTTTCAAAAGCCAATAGGAATGGTCCAGGCTGTCTCTGCCCTGCTGAGCCCGCCAAAAGTCCCATTCTGCAAACAGTGCTGCACCAATTGAGTAGTCCTCGACTTACGACCGGTTGAGTAGTCCTCGACTTACGACCGGTTGGGGGTCGCGGCATTAAAAAGGTTGAGAACCACTGCTCTAGACCATTTGGTCCCATAGCCCTACTGAATATACCATATTTCCCTGAAAATAAGAGGCAATTGGAAAATAAGCATGATTTTTCAGGACGCTCGTAATATAAGCCCCACCCCCAAAATAAGCCCTAGTTAAGATCATCAGCCAGATGGATGCATTTAGTACTGTATTTCTCTGAATATAAATCCTAACCAGAAAATAAGTCCTAATGCATCTTTCAGAGCAAAAATTAATATAAGACCCGATCTTATTTTGGGGGAAAACATAGTAAGGCAGAAAACTGGGACACACCACAGAATGAGCGATGACTGTCTTTTGGAAGGAAACAGGATCAGTAACAAACTCATGTCTAAAGCCTACTTTACTAGAAGCACAAGGTGGGGAAAATCCCCTAAAACAATAAGGAAAAGGTGGGTTGAAAAATCTCACCCCAGCTGTGAATCACAACTGGTTTTTTTTTCTCATTTTCTACAATGCGCTCTTCTCTTTAAGTGTGATTTTGGAAGATTACCCGCTAATACAATCTCTCTCTCTCTCTCTCTCTCCCCCTTTTTTTTCCTTTTCAGATTTTTACCACCGAGTTTTCTTATCTATTCTTCTCCTCTTTGCAATTGTAGTATGAGGCATGTGGGCTTACTTATTTCACAAAGTCTTCCTTGTTTCTCTTGTCTGTAGTCGTTACCATTTGCGCTGTGGCCTTGCCTTCTAAAGGCAACATTGAAAACTAAAGCAAAAAACAATAACAATAACAATAGTAGTAGTAGTAGTTACAGGTGCGTTGAGTGCAATCCCAAAACTTCTGGAGCACCACTTGAATCCCAATTGACCCATCGGTCAATTGCAAAAGGTGGCTTTGCTTTGAACACCTTACATCCTGCGACAATGTATGTAACAGCATCAAACATTCAGGTCTGCCTATCCCAGGTCCTTGGGAAGGATTTGATAAGTAGACAGATCCAGTCTGAACATCTGGCAGACTGTGTGACATAATTATAGTGGTAGCAAGAACGGTGCTTTGAAAGATTTGCAGGATAGTCTAGTTCAGGCATGTCAAACCCGCGATGTCACATGACATCGCGTGACATATTGGAGCTTTTTCTCCATTGCTGGCAATGGAGTGGGTGTGGTTTCCTGGTGACGCATCTAGCCTGTGGGCCGGCAGTTTGACACCCCTGTTCTAGTTTAATAAAAAGAAGGATTAGGGGGTGACATGTTAGCAGTATTCCAATATTTCAGGGACAGCCACAAAGAAGAGGGAATCAAGCTATTCTCCAAAGCGCCTGAAGGCAGGACAAGAAGCAATGGATGGAAACTAACCAAAGAGAGAAGCAACCTAGAACTAAGGAGAAACTTCCTGACAGTTAGAACAATTAACCAGTGGAACAACCTGCCTCTAGAAGTGGTGAATGCTCCAACACTGGAAGTTTTTAAGAATAGACTGGACAGCCATTTGTCTGAAATGATATAGAGTTTCCTGCCTGAGCAAGGGGCTGGACTAGAAGACCTCCAAGATCCCTTCCAACTCTGTTATTCTATTCTATTCTATTCTATTCTATTCTATTCTATTCTATTCTGTTCTGTTCTGTTCTGTTCTGTTCTGTTCTACTCTACTCTACTCTACTCTACTCTACTCTACTCTACTCTATTCGCCATTTGTCTGCAAGCAAGAACTGGTGGAAACATAAAGTATGGAAAGTCATAGAAAATGAAAAAGCTAAATTGCTCTGGGACTTTTGACTTCAAAGAGACAGGCACCTGCCTAACAACGGTCAATAAGAAGGACAAAAAAAAAGTCGGGATTATAGACGTGGCAATACCTGGAAAAAGCAGAATAGAAGTGAAAGAACTGGAGAAGATAACAAAAGACAAAGACCTGCAAATAGAAGTAGAATGATGGCCAAAAGAAAGCAAAGGTAGTGTTAATAGTCATAGGTACCTTGGGTGCAATCCCAAAGCATCTGGAGCACCCCTTGAACACCGTTGTCATTTACAAAATCCCCAGAGTCCATTGCAATGGATGGGATCACAAAATAGACAAAGTAAAACAAAGAAAGTCAAATGATGTCTCTCAGACTTAACAATTGTTGATAAGAAAGATAAATAAAAAATCTGGATGGTGGATGTGGCAGTACCTGGAGACAGCACTGGAGACAATCACAAAATACAAAGACCTACAAAGAGAAGTAGAATGACTATGGCAAAAGAAAATAAAGATGGTATCTATAGTAAGAGGCACCTTGGGTGCAATCCCAAAACATCTTGGATCACCACTCAAACACCTTCGGCATTGACAAATTCATTATCCGTCAATAGCCAAAGGCAGCTTTACTGGGAACAGCTGACATCCTATGACGATATCTCTAATACCATCAAACATAGACATCTGCCTATCCCAGGTCCTTTTATCCAATAGGCTAAAAATACCAAATCCCATCAGAACATCTGGCTGACTGTGCAACAAATCGTATCAATGTTACCTTGATGCTAAGAATTGTGCTGGCACAGTGGTTAGAAGGCAGTATTGCAGCCTGACTCTGCCCATAGCCAGGAGTTCAATCCTGACCGGCTCAAGGTTGACTTAGCCTTCCATCCTTCCGAAGTTGGTAAAATAAGGACCCAGATTGCTGGGGGCAACATGCTGACTCTGTAAGCTGCTTAGAGAGGGTTGTAAAGCACTGTGGAGTGGTATATAAGTGCTATTGTTATTCTCCTCCTCTCCCTCTCTCTCTTTTGCCTCCTCTTTTAATCT